GAGGAATCCTCCCCCTGAGGAGGAAGGAGCAGCAAAAACATTTGAAGAACTGATCATGACTCCTGTCCCCCTGTGGCACTGTGGTAGAGAAGTGACATTGAGCCTGAGAAGGGTGAGGTGAAGGAAGGATGTTTTAGGGCTTCATTTTTCTTCTCATTGCCACTCTGATTTAAACTAATTTYSCCAAGCTGAGTCTGTTTTGCACATGATGGKAGCAGCTGAGTGATCTCAGAAGCCTTTAATTGCATTTTCTTTTCCAGTCCAGCTGAGGAGGGCAGTGACAGAGGAGCTCTGCTGGGCACCTGGTGTCCATGCTGGGTCAACCCCCACAGCTGCATTCTGGATAAAGGAAAGGTTAATGTATTGCTGCAATAAATTCACACAATACAGAAAGCTTGCCAGAAGTAAAAACATTATTTATGTAATCCTTTCCTTTAATTTTAAGTCTGATTCAAGAAAAAAAAAGGAAAATCTATTAGGACCACCAGCTATATGATGAAACACAYCCTTCCATAAAAGCAATTAAAGAGAGATTAAGATTAGAAAAATTAAGRAGTTACTGTTTTATATGGTCAGAAAATAATTTTCAGTTGGTTTAGAAACCAAGACTATTAAGCTCACTGATAACACATTGCAAACAAGGASCAAGAAATACATCCTACTTATCAAATTAATTACCAATATAGCCTTCAATACAGAGCCTTGACAGTGATTTACTAAATCTTCCTAATCAAAGTTAGCTCTTTATTGGTAATTAACACTGRAGGCAAACTCAATTTTTGCATGTGTCCTATCTGTTCATTTTCTAGTCATAGTTTTCTCCCAGGGTGTTTCTTGGTGTCAGTCTGACAAAACAGAAGTGCAGCTCCAGGTATTTCAATAAGCAGTGTACTCTGGAATAGCTTTAGCTCAACCCTCTGTGTGTGGTGTGGGAAGCCCTGCATGGCTTCCCAGCGTTGTCTTTGGGGAACCAAACCCCTTTAACCATGTTCCTGCTGGCCCTGGCTGTGGGGCAGGGCTCTGTGGGTTTGTGGGAACACGAGGGGAGTGCACAGGGCACACCAGCAATGCAACAGCTCCACTGTTCCCAAAGAACACTGCAAACACGTGGACTCTGCTGCCCTGTCGTGCTGGATTTTCCCCTCTTCCTGCCCACATCAGGCTCCATTAAACATCATATTAAAATGATAATCTAAAAGGAAAGTAACTGACTTAAACACCTCCCCCACAACCCTTTAAAACAGTAAAATCACAGAATACCTTCATCAATGTGTTCCAACCATTCTGCACTCCTCCCAGCCTGGAGAAGGCAGTTGCGCAGAGCCACAGTGACAGTGACATCAAAGGGCTACTGACTGCTTGTTCAACATGTCATACACAGGGAYTCCTCACAGGACAAACAACAACTGCAATTGCATGGAACCAAGAGGGAATTGCTGTACTTGGATTGAAAAGCATRTTCACCATATGGCTACTAAAATTTTCCAGGATAGTCTCAGTTTAAAGGATGAGAACAGTAATTATCACTGGGAAACAAGTGAAACAGCAGGAAAATATGTAACAATTCTTAGYAAGAGATCTAGCTGAGATACTCTCCAATTTAAAAGTTTGCTGATTTAGTGTGTGCTTTTTGTAAAAGCAGTGAATTCAGGCAGAAATGCATACCCTCAGCATTAGCAGAAGGCTGTATCTGTAATCCCAAACCCCAGCAGCTGTTTGAATATTCAACCACCACACTAAAGCCAGATAGCAAGGCAGTGACAAACGGAACAGCGGACCTACATAAACAAGAACGCAAAGCAGCACAACAGAACAAAGCTGTCCTAGCAGGAACAAGTGAGGCTGGAGGAGGCAGTTCCTACAGAACACCCCATAAGACAGCCTGACACACASACAACAAGCCTATTTATCATCCTGCCTCCTAACACTATTCACACTTAAACATCAGTCCTCTCATTTTTTTTTCCATTTACAGATGTGCCTGCAGCAAAAATAGAAGTACTAAAAATTTGTTTTTAAGAGCATATTTTTAAACTWGTTATTTCCCTTTGAATTTTGATTTGAAGAGGTAAATTACAGGCTTAGAGAAGTGAAAACTAAAAAAACCACTTTAACTTCACAAAACCCTTAAAAAAACCTCTTAATGGCAGCTCTTCTTATCAGCCAGCTAACTCCTACTGCTGTGTTTTCAACCAGTCAGAAAAGGAATAGAATCATTTGGAAAGTTGGGTTTTGCTGTTCTTTTTTTACACATCCAAGGTTCTGCACAGAAAAAAAATGTGTTTCTAGATGCTGATGTAAAGCAGAAGAGATACTGAACTCCAGAGGGGAACTATGCAATAAATAGCTTTGTGAAAAAAATAAAA